AATTCGGAATACCTTCGACACCACTGAAAATCTTGCCAAAAAATTTCACAGAATAACCGATCAAAAATCATAAAGAGTATCACTGGAACCGGTAAATTCCGGAAAGCTTCGACGTAATGTAGTTATGAGAGTCACGTTGACGGTTAAAGGCTAAAAATGAGCCCTTTTGACCGTTGACGTTTAAATGTTAGGTCATGTCACGGTTGACGGTTAATTTTATGGAATGTCGTTTATAAAACGAACTAAACGCGCGAATTTGGCAGTAATTTTTTATAATGACGCGTTTGTAAAAAACTATTAATTCATAACACCTTTTATTAAATACATTACCGACGTTTTACGACACCAGAAGTGTTTCCACAGTGGAAGTCAGTTCTGTCGCTAACCACTTTTACTCGAGACTAGTAGTTAGAGGACTTACATAAATGTACTTCTGTGATATATCAAAACTTTTATTTATAAACAACAAAGCTTGACCCGAATTAAGGCAATCGTTTGGTTCTTAATTTTAAGGATATTTGATACATTTGAGACTAACGTTGGCTTGCTTATTAGAGGTTGACGGTGAAAATATTGCGTTTTAGACGGTTGACGGTTAATATTTTGGCCATTTCAACGGTTGACGGCTAACCCAATTGAGACCCTCAATTATGCCTTGTTATTATTTTAATGTTTTGAATCTCTTCTCTTTTTAAATCATAGCCCGATACAGACATTCTTCTTTGCGCTAGTACCGAGGCGCTCAGTGGTCACTATTATGCTTCAGCTAAGGCAACTCCTACAAAAACAACTTCAGTAAGTACCAGCCCACAGTTTGTACAACTATCAAATTTACAGATCAATTCAAACACATAAAAATAGTTTTTGTGTGTAGCAACTTCCTGTTGACATGAATTACAATTTGCTCGCACGACAAATGACTATAAGATTCGTTTCTAGACGTGAGAGGGAAATTCTTGTTTCGTGCAGGTTCCGGCTTCAGCTGTGACGATTAGTGACCAAGACAGCGAAAATGGAATGGTCAAGTGCAGGTAGCTCTTTCCTTTATTGATAGTATGTAGCCAAATTTTCTCGTGAGCGGGATATGACTAAAGTACGGTTCAATCTATCAAGGGATGCTTGAGAATAAAGTACTGTAATTACTTGTCTCAATGCATGAGCAAAAACTAGACAGTTTTGGTCAATGTCTGCCTGGCCATAACAGTTTTTGTATCTTAGCACGCTGAGAAGAGATAACAAAGACTCCTGTCCCTTTGGTTTTGAATAACCATGATCTCACGAGACTTTAAAGCTAATTGTGTCTGCCTACAGCCGGTTGAGTATTCATAAAAGAAGTCATGATTACAAAATCGATGTCTGTGGTCAATTTTGTTTTCCAGAATCTCCAGGGATGTCAATCCAGGAATCGAAAATTTTAGAGATCTGAATCAACTTTGGTATCTTTTGGGAGCAATTGGGCCAGTAGGGGGTAAGATCAAAGACGGACCCTTATTTCACAAATGTGTAAGGTTAAGTTGGAGACGGGTAGCAAGCACTTCATCGAGCAAAGTACGATAGGTCTATCCACGAAACAAAAAGACGTGTGTATATATGGCTACGACAAAGTCATACAATGATGCTTGCTATGCATAGCTACCTCATTCATTTATTTGCGGTTTCCTTGTACCTTGCCCCGTGAAATTGTTCAAAGTTGTCCGAAACTGAGAACTCGTAGCCGTTGAGTATTCACTATTTTGCCACATTATATAATCTTCTCTCTTTCATTCAGTTGGTGAAATTAGGCAACATGGTCTCTCTGATAATGATCGCCAGTCTACAGGCTCCAGGGTCGATGTCACAGATGCGTCCGGAACGGCCGCGGGAGGGGGAAGCGGAATAAATAAAAACATTCTTGTCCACGGTAAAGTAGACACTGAATATGTATCCGAAAGTTAAGAAAAGATAGTTTACACCGACTTGCCTTATTGCTTTGAAACTGATAAGCTTCTCGTGCCTGGTTTGTTCGATGAAAATTGTCTCATTGGCTTTTAGCAGAAAATGTATTTTTGTGTGACGTTTTGTAACTATGATATGACGGGTTCTAAATTAAGGTAATACTTTACAGCATGTTAGCAATGGAAAATTATGTTTAAAAAGGACTTGCTTCCATCGTAATGATCAAAGCAGGCAAAGAACCGTTAAGGTGGAAAATACTTCAGTATCATCGAGGACAAGATCAAATTGGAGTATGTGCATGAAAACTTTCTGCTGCTATTTACCAATTTTACTTAGAAGTAGACTTTCAATGTCATTTTCCCCACCACAGGCGCCCTAATGACACTTGCTTGGCTTCTGTTTGCTTTTGTGGGTTTGTTCACTGCGCGGTACATGCGCCAGGCCTGGGAACCAAGAGAATTGTTAGGAAAGAAGGCCTGGTTTACGGTTGGTATACAATGCTTTTACGAAAAGACGAATTTTAATTTTTATAGAAATCAAACGCTAAGCAACCTTTGAAGATCACTCAGCCTCTCCTCTCTCTTCACTATATTAAAGTCACCTAGGGAATCAGAATTATGAAATGGTGATTGATTGACGGCTACAATTTTGTGTTTACCTTCATAAAACTTAAAACCGACTGCCGGTTGATTTAAACCTTACTGAGACCCTTTCACATTCTAATCCTCTATTCATTTGATGAATGATGGGTTTGAAGCGCCAGTAACTTTGCAATGAAGCTGTGACAAGCCTTGCCGGTTCACCGGCATCGGAAGAACTCATCATTTGGACAACTATTCAGATCGTTGAAAAAAAATTCATTTTTTTTTCATGGAAAAGACTTATCAAGACCGAAAGGATAAGGTGGTTCTTTCTGTCATTGTTACAGAAGAATGTTTACGATATACTTTATAACTGATTGTCTTTTTTTGGAAAGAAATTTCTATCGATTTCATTTTCTCCCCTAACAGGTTCATCGAATACTGATGACGACAACAGTCCTGTTTACAATTGCCGGAATAATTGTCATCTTTGTTCACATGATGGCTTGGTCTTCGGTAAGATATCAACTGATAATCAATTGAAATATTAACGTTTTAAATCTACATAGAGAAGCTTAATTTTTGAAAGGTGTGCAAAAACATCTCATTATTTCTTTTTGGCTTAATTTTAAAAAACAACCTATTTAAAAGTGGGAAAAAAAAGAACTTCATTGCCACCATGAAAAGATGAGCTACATAAACCATCTGTTCTTAGCACCTTAGCGAGCCTACGATCAAATAGAACTTCGAATCAGGTGCACCTTGGCATGTCACATTTTTGGTCCATCCATTTATGTATTTAGTTTTGATTTGATTTTTATGTTTGATTAGTTCTTTTCCTGTTTCAATAGACCGCCGGCGCACATCCATACCTTGGTATCATTGTCCTCGCCTTCGCAATTGCACAACCAACTATGGCAGCATTCAGACCACATCCTGGCGAGCCCAGGTACATCTACTCAACTCAAGTACCGCTGTACTCTCCTTCAACAATTACACAATAGAAACTGAATCCGAGGAAACTCATTTCCAAATTCTTCAACCGTTTTAACCTGGGAGGCTTTTTTCAGTTTTTGACAAGAAAAATTTAATTTTGCTCACGATAATTTTTGGTTAAAAATAGTTCTGCCACTGTAAGCCAGGTAGACAGTTTTATTTTTCGTTTTGCAAGAAAATGAGCTCAGGATTGATCATTTTTAAGTTGGCTTGGTAGCTTTTTTTCTTAGCCAAGCGAACGAAAATCGTAACTGTTATTGCGAGTATCAGATAATCATACTAAGTATTTGAAAAGTTTGATATGTTAGACTTTCTCGAAAAGTTGGGGTCTAACATCCACCGATGAAGATAAAACATAACGTTCAATTTCTTACATATGTTTTTTACAGGCGCAACATATTTAACTGGTCACATAGATGTGTTGGTTTCATTGCACTGATTCTTGGAGGTAATTTCCAGCTGCACTGCTGTATATCAGTAAATGATTTAACCAGTTCTTTAAAATCTTAATTCTTTTGAGGAATTCAGTAACAAGCGACGAAGAAGCTGAGCTTTGTTTTTATCACAGAAAAGAAAATCGATAGACAATTTTTTTTAAAAAAGGAATTGAAAATTATTAATCCGAAATAAATAGCATCGTTTTCTCGACTGGGACATTCAATTGTTAATTTTCCCTTTTCAGGGGTCACCATTTATTTTGGATTATGCTTGGTCGACTTGGGAAAGCCGAAAGGACGCTCTGCAGTGATTTGCTTCTATGTTGGGGTGTTTCTCGTTTTCATGTTTGAGCTGTATCTTATACTCTCCAAAAGCAGTCGTGCCATGAAGTCTGGGCCAATAAACGACAGAGGTAAGAATTGCTCCTTTTCTCTCCCTCTGCGGTGTAGTGGTGTTAATGATGGGGCATCATATACACAAAGATAAGCAGAACTGAGAAGTGGAGAAAATGTAAGAAAAAAGTTACAAATGCCATTTGTTCTAAATTCATTCACTACGATTACAGGGAAAAAAGTCGCGGTTCCGTTTACGGATCGGACTCCCTCATCTTCCATACCGCAGTTCCATGCATATCCTACCCTTGGGTCATGGAGAGACTGATGAAGGGCTGTAAGCCATGTACCACGTTCTTATGAAAAACACTTGTTTAGCTGGCATACCTCTAGACCATGAGCCAGCAATGTCAGAAGCGTCCCAAGTGTCCTTAAAAATGTTAGCCTCGGTCGTTAAAATTTAATTCAGATATATAACGGCTTCCTACTGTACTTGCAAGCAAGTAAATTAATCATCAATTTCTCTTTATTTTCAAACTACCAGAGAAACTAACTCGTTAAACATATTTTAAACTCATTACATACAGATTATCCCATGGATCAACCTGGACAAGCCAATCGAGCCCCACTGGAGCCTGAAATGCCAACAAAGGTACTTGTACATCTGAACATCTTTATAATCCCTAAAGTTCCATACATGTGATCACAAAAATTACATGTACTCCTGCCTGACTGCTGAAGATTATAAACTCGTGGCACGTAATGTTTTGTCCAAAGACCACACCGTGCTTTCTGTAGAGGTTTAGGGTATGAAAATCTACAGTCCAAAACCAGTAAGCCTACGAGTTTTCCAAACGTCATTTCCTCTTGAAAAGGTATCATTTTCTATCGATAGACGTAATATCTATTTGTAACTCTTGAAATTCTAGTACAAATTGATCTTTGTTAATGTTCATTCTAATGTATATACAGGAAAAAATGATTCATACCATGATGTTCACTTTTGTTGTACTTTTTGGAATAAGCGTGGCACTAACCATAATCTTGCTCATGGTGCTGAAATAGTCTGCATCACAGCTGCGGTAAGTTTTATTTCAATGTTAAATAGCTATAACTTCAGTGTGTAGTAAGTGGGTGATACAGGGCAAGATAATTAGACCATTCATAGATTGTGGAAAAGTTATTTTTTTTTTTTTGCTTTAACCGGAACTTAGTACACCTTGGATTCTTGTTTTGTGGTTACGCGCTGGAAAATTTAATTAAACTTTCATGATTATCAAGTAGTTAAATGCAATGACATAATGCACTTCACGATTGACACGACTTGGAACTCTGAGGCAGGTCAACAGAGAGAAAGTGTAATAAAAAAAAAAACTTTACACAAAAATTTTAATATCATTCGCAGGTGATATCGATTTTGTTTGCAGTTTACAGATCTGAAGACATATTTTTGTGAGATATGTTTACTGGCGAATTATTATTGGCGACTTTGCTATACTGAAATAAAGACGAAATTCTGTTAAAAAATTTATATAAAAATTATGTCCACGATTGGACTTTGTATTAGATTTTGATCGAAAGGTAGTCAGTCTGTCTGAGTTTAGTTGCCTGCGTAAATAATATCACAACAAATGTCTCTAAGCCTTGACGAATCCATGTCATTCATGATTAAAGATAAAACAGTGCAGGGCAAACTCCAATTTGAATAAAACAAGAGTTTGGCATCTGTTTAAACAGGCAATCACTTACGGCGACTTCGAATGAGTTAACGCTGCATCAATTAGTTATCTTATCTTTTTCTTTTTCAACAGACTCTGAAACAGTTCCATTTCGTGGACCTCGAAGAAAACGAAAACCAGTTTCCTTATTTGAAGGAAGTTAAGATGCGAATATTTACATATTATTGTAGAAATCCATTAAATTGGTTTTCAAACAAATTGTGAGATAGTTTTTTTTTATTTTTCTTTACCGCTGGAAAAGAACTGTGGAGGATTTAGTTTTATAATTATATTATGATAAACGTGTAAATTTTCAGTACCATTTTAAAGATTCACAGTTATATTTGCACTGCTGCTTTTCACGCCTGACAATAACAGGTACATAGACCACAACCAAATAATGTTCTGTTTAAGGTTTTGCACTCGGGAAGTTTTTCATTGGCTATTGATTGACAACAGGTATGACATACGGTCTCCTACAGCAAACTGATATTGACGGTGATACATTGCAAAGGAAGTTTGCAGTAAAATTGAGCAAAGCAAAACTTCCCCCTGAATTGAGACTCTTTTTAAAATAAGTTTGATGTTTTACATCCTACAACAGTTTTAATATAGACAGAACATCACTTGAAAACATCTTGTTAACACGCGCGCTCACCTTTTCGAAAGAAAAGAAATCGCTCTCAACACAAGCTAAGAGATCGCTTTTGATAAGTAGTGAAAGCAGGTGTATCCACACAATTGTTCTTACATTGCCACTTCTTGTTCCTAATTTTTGGGCTTTTTTATTGTCAAGACTTGCTCTTTCGTATAGAGATGAAATTGGAGTTTTACAGTTTCGTTTTCTGTTAGATAAACATAGTGTGACAACAACAGTATTTAGTGGTTTCCCACGAGTTAACTCCATAGTTAAACTTTACGGCACCATGCATATTCAGATATATTCTGCTAAAAATTATCAGCCCCCAAAGAGTCAAGAAGAGTTAAATATTACTCGACTTGAGAGTTCGTAAATATGAGTAAACTGAACGGGGCGGCACGTTCTGTCAGGTTACTCTTGTTTAATGAAAGAGCTTTCAATGAATGGCATGTCCCTTTAGATGTCATAAGATTTGTTAAAGTTGTTTTGTTTACTGATGATAAATCGAATCTGCATTTATTTCCATTTAAAAGAAGATGCAAATATACGCGCCCCAGTTGAACAATTTACCGGTGTACAATCTAGTTATTGAAAGAAAATTAAGCGACGAACTGTTCTGGTCTAAAAACGGCATGTTGAACGAAACTACAAATAATGGTAAGTAAAACTTCGAATGAAATTAAGATATTTAAGTAAGAAATCCATACCTTTTTTTTTATCATTTTTTACGAACAACCCTAAATACAAAATACAGTGGGGTAGGGAATGATACCATAGACTCAAAGATGTCATAGCGCGTTAAAATTTTGAAATTTATTTTGTTTTCAATCTTAGTTAATCTCACTGTCTAAAACGAATGAGTGGATGATGAAAAACATAGAGCTTTTTTCTTCTCGCATAGCTACTTTATAGAATATCTAACTAAAAACGCATGGCAGCTCAATGAGAAAAACAAAATTTTAACCTAATGAAACTCAGCGATGATGGTACAGATTAACATTTTTCTCGACAGTCTTGTTGAGCACTTATCGTTTCCGACTTTCAAGTTTAAGTCTGAATTAAAGCTGTTAGAAACTGTTTTGATCGGAAATTACCTTGGTCGGATCCTTTGAGAACAGAGAAGACAATTAGTTACTACGTAAAAAATGGAAAGCCTGTCAAGGCATAATCATGGCTGTGAGAACAAACGTTGGGAAAAAATCAGTTATTCCTCCATATTTACCGCACGCACACGTATCATAATCCCCGCAAGAAGGAATCGCTTTGAATTTTGCTCACTTCATCTATATTTTTAGCAGACATTGTATTCAAGATATTCGATTATCTTTTATCACTTAATGATGTGTTAATATCTAACACAGGTTTTCGTAACTGAGTTAATTCCATTCAGTTCATTTAACTCTTTCTATACGCTCTGCAGGGAGTCAAAATGCTTCCTTGGATTCCTCTTGGTATGGATATGACGTTGATGAAGTTCTACAGATAAGTCTCACGGTCGTGTATTCTGTCACATTAATTACAGCTCTACTTGGTAACATCGCGCTAATCCGCATAATTCGGTTGCGACGTCCTCTGACTAGCGTATCGATTCTTTTATCCAATATGGCAGTTTCGGATCTTCTCACCGCCTTATTTGCAATGCCCTATACCATCTGTTACTTATATGTGCAACAGGAATGGTTCCCAGGCATCTTTGGCGTTATAACTTGCAAATTTATTAATTTTGTCTTCGGCACTACAATTGCTGTATCCATATTTGCACTGTTGACGATTTCCGTGGAAAGATACATGGCAGTTGTGAGGCCCGTGTTGTATCCTTCGTTCATAAAAAGGCCTCTTTTGTTATCCTCTGTCATATGGGTGTCATCTGCCCTGTTCATGAGTGTTTATCTTTACATTAACGACACATACACTATAGATGGAGTTACTCTATGTATCTCAGACTGGGAACCGATATTCAGCAACGAGTACAGTCCGAAAATCTTTTTTTCCTCTGTGGCCGCTCTTCTTTACGTCGTGCCATTGTTGATCATTGCTTTATTCTCGTGCTTGATTATTAAAAAGCTCAACAAGACAAAGAAAGCTCTCAGCAGCGATCAGCCAGCAGAACACCTGTCTGACACTTTCACAAAGCGCCACCAGCGCGTCATGCGAATGTTAATCGTTATCGTAGTGCTGTTTACCGTGTGTTGGCTTCCGGTTCACGTTGTGCACGTCTTGGTATACTTCTATGGAGAGATATACATGTCGCTACCGCCATCTCTCCCACTGATCTTATTTTGGGTCTCGCATCTCAATAGCGCCCTTAATCCATGCGTAGTCATTCTGTTAAACGATTCGTTTAGAAAAATTTTCAGGGTTATTGTTCAGAGCTTGTGCAGTGGGAAAATCCCAGACTTCAATCATGTACCCTCTTCCCAAATTGGCAAAACCTGCAAGGGTGGGTGCTTACCACTCAAAAGAAAAAGACCAAGGACGTACTTGTTTGTTCAGTGGAGCAAGAGGGATAACGCGACACCAGTTACCGTTGTTGATGTCAGACATGAAGAGAACATTGCCAGTTATTGATGTAAAGGACGATGGAAATACGATTCGTCACCTAGTAGTTAATACAGTTTCCAGTGAATCTGTTAAGGGAAACATGTGAATCATAGCAACACAATTTTCTATTGATTTTCAACTACAGTAGCAAAAAATTACCATAAAGAACAACAACAAATAAATAAACAATGTAAAAATAACAAAACGAAACAAACAATGTTAGACCTTCTCAGAGTTACATAATCTAGAAGAATAACTTTACCCCTCCATAATTTTTCCAATTTACCTTACGTTTTCCTCGAGATAAAAGATGAGACGATCAAAAATAAATCCGAATGATAACATAGTTTGATATTACAGCCCTAAACTTAACTTTTATCTAGATTTTTATATAATCTAAAACGTTCATGTAATAAATAAATGCTTAGGTGTAAGGCTTTTCTACGATTTTAGCTGTGCAGCAATGAACCTTATCGGCGATGAACAATCTGCACACGAGCCTGTATTTAGCGACACCGCCTTTTTTATTTAAGCGGTCATCCTGTATTGAGCGGTCAGTTGTCAAAGTCCCAAGTTTTTTTCCCCCTTCTTTTAATACTGTTATAGTTCACCTCTATTGAGTGTTCAACTATATGAAGCCGTCCTGTCACCCTTTACGGCATCTTTGTATGGTCTTCCACGTGCATTGAACGGTCACTTAAAACGCAACCACTTAAATAATACTAAAAATGATCTTATAAGTAAAATGTGATTTATGCTTATCTCCCGAAACCATTGTTTGTAGTATATTGGTGCAAGATTTTGTACATTAAGTGGTTAATTACGGGATAAAATGGCATTTTTTTAATCGTTTTTTATAATGAACCTATTCTGCCGAACATATGTTAAGTTGTCAACTTGTATTATGCAGTCACCCCACCATCCCAGTGGGTGACCGCATAAAACAGGTTCGACAGTATTTACAGTTTATAATCGGCTTGTTTGTATGTACATTTTCAATCTCCTACTTAGCAACACTTTTATAATAGTGATCATAGTCTTGTTTGTTGTGTAGGGACTCCGATTTGAAACAGTTTTTATTTTTTATCTACATTCAAGGTCCCTCACACACTCACAACTTTGTAACCACTTGCCATTAACAATAGTTAAGCGCATCAGAATACGTCACTTCAAAATACAGAAAAGTCTACAAATTAGTATACTTACAAGTAACTTCTGTTAATTAGAAGCAAGTCTGTCCATGTAATATTTGAATGAAACAAAAAGCGAATTAAAATTAGATATGCTTCAACCTTACCCTCATTCTGGTGAATTCGGGTAATGCACATGCTCAAACTACAGTATCACTCTCATGATACCTGTCCTCCATTGTACTTCCTTGTTTACTTCCAAGAAGTGTAATGCGAGAGGCGGTGGCACTTCCGCTTATGGCCTCTGCTCTTGTGAAAGACAAGCGATCACTTCCGTTAGAAAGACGTCCACTGAGCCTGTGATAAATCTGATGCTTGAATCCTTCGCGAAAAATCTCGTTGAATATGAAATAAAGGCACGGGTTGATAGCAGTGTTGGCATGCGTCAAAAAGAAAAAAGTTAGAATTAACGAAGTCGGTAAACAACTGAAGGCTCCAAAGTTGAACGTCAACAGGAAGTGATTGACGTGCGCTGGAAGCCAACATAGGGCGAAAAGTATTACTATGGTGACTAACATAGAAATCACTTTGCGTTTCTGTCTCTCGATTCGTTTTTGGTTTTTGTCGATGTGCTCGCCAGGTGCCTTTCTTCTCCACATATGCAGCACAATCTTTGAATACAGTACGGCCATGGCGAGAAGTGGAATGAGGTAGAACAGGACAAACCGGGCAATCATCTCATACAGTGATATTTTATGAGAGGCGAGAAGATCGTCCACCCATCTAGGACCGCAGATTACTTGACCTGACTCATTGTAAAGCTTGTACTTGTAAAGTTCACTTGAAAACACTAGGCTCGAAATGAGCCAAGTCAAGGTAATTGCCACGATTGTCAGTTTAAAAGACAGAGGCCTCTTCATCAGGTGCACAATTGCTAGATAGCGGTCAAAGGTCATAACTGTCAACGTCAGGACAGATGAACCGATGGAAATGAAGGCAAGGAATGGCAAAAATTTGCAGAGGAAAATACCAAAATTCCCTGGAAACCACTTTGCGCTTTCATACAAGTACACCAGGGACAATGGGATGGCAGTAATGACGTCTAGAATGTCGGCGGTAGCCATGTTGACTATTAGCATATTGAAGGTCGTTCGGCATTTTGGGTGACGGTGGATAACAAAAATGATCATTGAATTGCCTACCAAAGCCACAAGGAACACAATGAAATAGGCGATGGTCAAACCAACTTGAGTTGAGAATGTGGTGGGTTTCGGTACACAGTATAACACTGAATCACCAGACCCGTTGACTCTAGTTTCTAAAAGGATAACAAATGAACCAATTAGGGGGCGTTAACGGACAACTATTTTCGGTTGCGTCTGTGGTGAACGATTTGTACCGGGACAATGAAAAAAAGGTTAGGCTGTTTTGACGTCAGTTGTTCTACTAAAGAATAACATGGCTAGTCACATCGTGGTACTTAAGTCGAAAGTCGTCAGCGGTCACAACACTCTCTGAAACGTATATAGCGGAAGTTAACCTCTTCACTGGGTAGAGCCAGTGGCTGAAGCATTTCGCTAGAAAGGGGGATTAAGAAATTACAAAACTTAAGTTTCTTTGAGTTCGTGAAAAGTTGCTTTCAAGATTAATACAAAGAAACCGCATTTCAACAAAAAGCAATTAATAAAAAAATACTTTTAACATCATGTTTTTTCAAAGGGTCCTTATCTGAAGCTTTAAGTTAGTGTCTCGGTTTCTTTATTAACAAAAGAGACTTCCTGAGATCGATCATCACAGGCGACAGCTTAAATGAGATCCTATGTTGTTCATTTTGTTGTTCGCACTCAGCTGCGTAGCTTTGTCTTGATGCAAGTTTCTCTTTGTTAAGTTCCTTAGTGGTAATTCGAAATAGTAATCTTCTCCGAACACACTATCTTTGAAAAAAGTTCTCCTTAGAGAAAACTAAGAGGAGGGATCCCCATATGATATGCCTTTATCAAAGGAGGAACTCTACATTTTCAAACGAAAGTAGCTGTGAAGATGTCTCTTAGCACGAATCATTGGGACTGTTACATTTCCATCAAACACATGCTAGCAGAAATCTCAAGCGAGACTTAAAAATTTTACTAGAGCTTGTGATGACCCCCTAAATATCAAATTCGATGCTTCAAACATCTCCTATGATTTTGCCTGGAATCAGACAAGTACTACATTTCATGCTCAATCCATCTCAAGATTATTTTCTTTCTTTTAGTAGCTCGGCGATGTAATACCCAGTTAGAGCAAAAATTAATGAATTGTTTTGCTTCGTGGTTTCAAAATAAGTTTTTCGGACTGCCGCCAACATACACCAAAAAATGAAAAACTCCTGGGAACCATCGGAAATTTATATTTGCAAATGAAATCTTTATCAGCTGTGTTGATGAAAGATAAGGAATATATCCACTTAAGCTGGTCTCTGGACGGGAAGGAGACAACCGCACAGATATACCCGAACAGAAAAATCAAGAATGATGGAAGTACTTACCAGTGTAGTTGGTCGACATAGAGCGCTCGCTTACTTTCTTTGCAAAAGGGTGCTTTGCTATTTGAAATAACCAATACACAAGGGAAACCGATTGGATTTTATATGCGTCGTATACGTGATAAATGCAATCTTCGTACGTGTCATCCTAAGTACTTAACTGTCAACAAAATCAGGATACATCAGTGTTAGAAGTGTTTGGAAACAATGGAGTAAAATATCAAAAAAGTAATTATCTCAGCCGGATTGTATTGGTTATTACTGCCAACAATGGATTAAATTTTACGCCCTTAATTAAATTTTATTCAAACTGAAATGGTGAGTATGTCTCTTGAAAAATAAAGGATACTGATTCAAATGCTTTAACAATCTCTGTCGTCCCCCTCTGACTTGAAACAGATTGTGAATTACAAATATTATCTACGTAATGTTGAAATGTCTTCCAGTTAAAAGTAGGTAATTTTTGAAAACGTAATTCATTAGATTAAATAAATGCAAGTAAACTGTGGCCAAATTCAAAGGGCGGGAGTGTTGCCCCCAAGGCAAAATTTTATATAAAAACCGTGATAACAAATATTGTATTTTAAAGAGGTTTTAAGGCGGGACTTATTTCACAACTACTTAGGCTGGTTTCTTTTTAAGTGCAAATCTATTTATTAGGCAGCACTTCGGATGCAAAAGGGAAATTTTAGTAAAAGTCAAAGCTGGGTTTCTCTAAAAAGATCCCGTAAAATTAGTTTCTCTTGATTTTATTTAGAAAGCAAATCTATGCATCAGACTAAGAATAATAGATAAAGACAATAGCCAAAAATTTAAGGGTGTAATTTAATTCGTATTTTCGGTAGATCATTCCAAATTTTCGACAATTTCTGAACGCAGAAAACCATTGAAAGTTCATCGAAGAACGCCATGATAAATGCAAAGGATGAAAAGAGACCCAATTAGATTTTAAAAAAATGTTAAAATAAAGTGTCTTTCTTTCGGAAATCTTGAACGATTTGCATTAATTTGTTCGACTTGTGTATCACTTTAAAACATTGATAGTGCGGATGTGGTATAATTATTTATTTTCAATATCTACTTTTCGATTAAGGACCCCATTGACTTAACCCTTCATTAAACTGATCTCAAACTGGAAACCTCAAGTTTACTGACGACTTGCTCAGTTGAACGGTCAAAACTTCATATGTAAACGAAAATCATCGAAAGTAATTTCATTATAGAGCTAAGATAATCACAGTGGTTTCTACAGGTATTGAACTTCATTTCATTATTCTCGATATGCGGAAATATTTATATCTGTATAGATAATAGTTCTTTACATACAAAATAAGACTATTGCATACATTGGAAGCAACGATAAAGTCAATGTTTTTCATTTCAAATTGGTCTTAAATG